GCTTGAGCGAGTTCAAATAGTGTTTCCTGTCCGACGGACTCGGCACGCAAAATTAGAACCATTATTTGAGCCAATATTACGGAGTTGTCATGATTAGATTTTAAAGGAACTTCCAAAAACCAATAAGTTCGTTGTGCGGTGGGGCATTATAGCTTAGAGTAAGTGGCATGAATGATGCAACATAGCACGAATGTATAATTTGTAAATTCGTGCAGTGTTGCATCTTTCATGAGATAATCCACTTACTCTACATATTATTAAATAAGTCAATAACCCAACGAAGTGAAAATTTATTCAAGGTTTAATTGACCAACAAGATCTGCAAAAATTAATCTAAGCTCATGAAATTTAAACACTATCTCCTAAACCACTCCTGTTCAAGCCATTTGCGATGTAACTATCGGCAGTTGGACAAGTCCATTCTGCAAATATAGGGGATTACAACGCCCTTTACACACAAGAACACAGTTACCCACTCTGTCTTCCAGTATACACACCGTTTCGCTTCTCGTCACCTAACTTTCAAGCTTCGACACGACAGCATGCCTCGGAGTCTGCCTATATACGTTCTCGCTAAAAAAAAAACACCATTTTTCGACCTTCAATCAATTCACTACTGTAACGAGCATACTCTTCGAGCCGTCCCTGAGTAGTTTTGTACAAATGCGCCACCCACTGGAAAAACCATAAACTAGGGGGAGAAAGAGAGAGAATCGTCATGACTGTTATGGTGTGAAAGAAAGACACTAACTGACATTTTTTTAAAAGTTAATTATCATTGTTTCCTAAATTATTTTATTCTTTTTAAGTTAGTGTCATTCAGTTAGTAATATTGTGCAACGGTATTGCTTATTAAATTCACATTTAGTGCTATTTAATGCCGTTTTCCTTCACAATACCAAGCTGCCGCCTACATCCAGCCAAATCCCACAAATCATTGCCTGTAATCACGCAGAACCCTAAACCCACCTTACACTACTATCATGCAGTCTTGGGTTTCCTACAAATAAATAAATGTTTTTTTTGCATAGTGTAAATATGTGTTCTTATTCTTGTTGTCGAATAAGTGAATAAAATAATGTGCCGTCCGTCAGCCTTTGATTTTATGGACAAGAGGTTTTTCTCACAAGGTTATTACAGCCCACCTGTACCGGTTTCGGCCGATGAATAAACAATAGATACAATCTACCAAAGTTTACAGATAGTTTAATAAATAGTAATAATCGCATCTCTGTGCTTTAATACAGATAAAATAGTACACATATAACCGAATTTTAAAGGGAAAGGGAATATAAAGTAAGGCTCGTATTTATAAACCGATTTCAGGTAAGTCGGACTCAGCTGAGTCGTCCTCGAACGAAAATCAAAGTTCGGTTATATCGCATGAATTTAGAAATGGGTAGTAATAAATCCGTAAATGTACTTAACAGTTACTGATTTGCTACTGTCCATCTCTAAATTCCAGTGCACCACTGGAACCACAAAGCACGTATCTTCTAGAGACCCCACGCCAATGTTAAACTTTTAAACCAAATTAGCGCCACCTTGTGTTTGGAGCTGGAACTAAAGTGACAATTGACAGATGGCGGTAAATTTAAATTGTAATTTTTAGGAGTAAGTAGTAGTTTTAAATTAAATTTTAAATGATTTCCACATAAATTATTTTATAAAATAAAGAATGGAACTAGTAAGTCCGAAACTTTTATTTTACAAAATAATTTAGGTCGATTATACCAAATTTGAGGAATTAATTTGTTATAAGCAGGGGTCTGATGTGGAAAGTTGGTTCTGCATATTATTATTAAATAAATATAAGATATATCAATAAATAATAAAATAGAACATTCTTAAAATATGTTTATTAATAACTTAAATATTATTAGATAAAAATAAATACAAATAATAATACATATTTAACGAATACTTACTTGCAGCAAATAGGTATACAATCTCAAATCTTTAAAATACCTATCAATAATTTAAATGTGAAGTAGAGACTAGGATATTACATTTTATTAACACTAAAATAATAATATATTCTATAAATGTCTTTTAAACCGAGGACAAATGTAATATAGGTATTGTATTAAAAGGTGAATCCTTTTAACTATTCATTCAATGATAAATAGGTATTTTGTGACGAAGTCACTAAAATTCCCATTAATTTATTGCATAAATTAATTTCTAAAATTAATTTCCGTCTATGAACATTTTCAAGACCCCCTGTAACTAATGTTTCCATAGAATTACCGTTTTTAAATCTTTACAAGAGCCCTCGTAGTTTAAAACTTTTTAATATCACAATAATGTAAATCGTCTCGTAAAATTGCAATAGTAGTAGGTTTATCAGTAAAATGATCAATTAACGTTTTTTTTGCAATAACAATTTATTTCCTCTAGGTGGGGCTACCGCCCCACTCCGGCAAAAGTACGAATTCTGATAAAACTAAATGTTTGCGATGAAGGAGCCCTCTTTTCCTGCTGCTACCGTCGGTTCGTGCTTAAAAGTTGTTTTGCTGAAGTGCCGTTTTTACCGTAAAAGCGATTTTTGTGAAAGAAGTTAATTAAGGTAGGCCTTTTATTTAAAATTCCGTCTAATAATTCTCCCTGTAACATCCACTTCCGTACTATTAATTACCTGAGCTATTCGACCGATATTTTTGATTTCTTAGTACCTGTCAGGGTAACGAATTGTATTTAAATCCGGGGCGTTAGTGCCCTTCAACCATTTTCGTGTTAACCAAGGGATGATAGTGGTATTCGCTTGCTATCCCTGTCGAGAGTCGCAGCTGTTTCTGTTTTGTAGAAGCTATGGATTGCCAGATGTCTACATAAGAGAAATTTGAAACCGAATAAATAAAATAAAAATTCTCAAAGTATTGGTCGAATAATACCGCTTTAAGACACCCGTTACTTGGTCTATTGTGCCTAGTAAAATAATATTGCGGGGAGGATATTAGGCGTCGTTCTTACAAAGGCATCCGTCATTTTTTTTTTCTCTCATGAGTGGAGGGTGATACTGTTCACCACCGTTGGCAGATTACCGATATTTTTATTACTGAGAGTAGCTTATTAATTTTTTTTTATTTTTAAAACGTATAGTTTGAATCATATTTAGTTTTACTATTGTAGATTTTTTTCTTATGGCTAAAACCGGCCGTTTTCATTAATAGCAAGGAATTTGTGCTAAGGGTGTTAGTGCCCACCGTTTTAATTTTTTTAAAGGGAAAATTGTTATTTTTATTTTCTTATGGGTATAGTATAGGTCATAGTTAATTTTACCGTTGTATCATATATATATATATCTGTTTAATAACGGTAATAAAATAAATGCAGAATTATGTATGTTGATAAAATAAAAGGTCTCGGTATTTACAGAAAATGATAAAACGGTAAAATTAACTATGACCTATACTATACCCATAAGAAAATAAAAATATATATATATATATATATATATATATATATATATATATATATATACCGATTTCACCCCGTTTATTTTATTTTTAATTATTATTTATTTCATTTATTTTGTAAATATATTTTTGATTGAAATTCCTGAGTTTAATTTTGAATTACGCCTTTGCTTTTTCCGTTTTCAGGGCGTAGTGATTAATAGGTAAAAGTGCAGTGAAAAACTTTATTTACTTTACTACCCTAGTGTAGGTCAACTTAACAGTGAAGGTCTATCCGTTTTATTTTTTTTGTTTGTACCTGGACTCCACTGAGTCTACTGAGGGTGTACTCTACGTGCACCCCGGGGCCGCAGAGCAAACTGCGATATCAAAACTGGCGCCTGAGCAACCCCTATTCGGGAATTACATTCATAGCGCCACAGACTCGCTGAAGCACTGTAGGTGAATCAGGAGACTTGTCACAATTTTCCTTCCAAATACAGATGGTGGTATTACTCCACTGCTTTGTGTATTACTCTCTTATGTGAAAAATGATTTCGGAATCTAGTCCAGTGATAAATTAATTATCAATTAGTTGTTATACCCGTTTGTCTTTTTATGATGCAGATGCATGGTGAATCAATGAAGTTTTTCTCGAAGTTTTCAACGTAGCACCCACAGGTAGCACCAAAATTATTGCAAAACACAGTAGGAAATAAAAAAGCAAAACATCACAATTTTGCAAATAACTAAGACGAAACTATAAACAGAAACCAAAAGCCAATAAAAAATCACTAAAATCAGACGGAAAAATGAGATTAACCAAAAACATAAATAAATACACGTTACGTCTTTGGAGTCTTTGGTTAAGTTTTTCTCCCATAAAGCTTAAAAATGGAGTAAGAAATCAGAATTTTACCAGTAGCCCCATCTAGAGTTTGGAGCAAATAGCATAAAAAATGTCAGTTGTCGGTTTTGACCTTGGTCATTCACGTGGAACCTCTATGTGCTTTGTGACTGGAACTACCTGGAAGTCTAGAGAAGTTATAGCATAGTTCAAGGAAAACTCAGCTGAGTCCGACTTACCTGATATCAGTTTATAAATACGGCCCTAAGATAATTGAAGACACAAGTGGATAAAGGTGTCATGTAACATTTTTTCAAAAAATGATTTTTATGGCCTAATATACTTAAAATATACTATATTTGTTTGTGATAATTCTGATTTCCAATTTTGATAAATAACGCTATCAGATAGGAAGGTATCATGAGCCATATATCATATTGCAATTGTCAAACTTTAAACTGGTTTTTTTGAAATCTTTTTGTGACATGACACCTTTATCCACTCCTGTGTTCAATTTTATTTTCAAGAATTTCCATAATAAAACAAATTTCGTCCTTTTCCTTTTGAACTTTTGTAGTTTCTAACCTTTTTACTTTGGAAATTTTCTTTTTTCAAATTTTTGTTTTTGAACTCATTTCCCCAATTCTTTAGAAATGCAATTGTTGTGCAACTGAGATTGGTACTAGAATAGCAGTTGTAATATCAAGATGAATTTGTCTGATGGCGTGGAAATTTCTTTTGCAGCTACATCTTACCTGCTAGTATAATTTTCATAACATCTACTTGTAACTCAAAGACGTGATTAGTAACATATTGCATGAACATTTCAAAGTCCATAGACCTATATCCCAAATATGTAAAAAATGACGTAAAACCTTGAGGAAGAGGGAAAGCTAATGCCTCTACTGCCATATAATATTTTTCTAATAATTTGAAAATAATATAACGCCGATTTTCTTCTAAATTATTTCTGTAAGAGAAAAAAATTATATTACTGGGTAGTGTGAATCAAAATTAAGTATGTATTCCCTATTGATGCATTAATTTCTTGGAGCAGTTTTTCTTTTCTTTGGAAATAATAAAAATATACCTGTTGATAATAAATGTAGATGGAGAACGTAAAAAATATTTCAGAAAAAATCGTTTTATTCGACAATCTTTCAAAATTGACAAAATTACAAAATCTATGAAACCATGGCGATTCGGATTATTTGAAACTAAGGCAACTTATGATTTCTAAGATTCCTAACATACTCTCGCTTAAAGAGAATAATAAAATATACAAATAAAATACAATAAAAATAACTAAAACCCAAACCGACAAGGTGGGTTAACTATTTTTCCTGCCCTTATTGTCACCGTTCTGGATTCAACATTTTCAATCGTCCTTCCTTCTTCTTTCTTTTTCATCTCTTCCGTTTGTTATTCGATCTCGATTTTCTTTGTGTTTTCAGAAGCCTATTACATTGTTCGGTTTGACTTATTTCTGTTATTCTACCTATTGGCCATTGAATCCTTTTTATATTATATTGAACAACAAGTACAATATCTACAATTTTTAAGATGGTATTACCCTTCTTTTGGCGACTGAAGACTAATTCTCCCAGATATTCGTTCCTAAATTGAGTATGAATATCATCTCTAAATTTTTGTATGTAGCGATAACGTACAACTATGTGATTTCTGTCTATGGAGTCTAGATCTGGAACGTCACTGCTTGGTGCATCATTTGAAACCATGGAGTCAAAGGATTTAAGGAACTATTGTCTTCATAGATGTAGGGTCTGCTATTAATAAAGGCCTCGCAATCACACACAATCGTTATTTTTTTTTTTTTTTTTTTTTTTTTTTTTTTTTGGCATAGGCACATTGCCATTCAGCCAGACACAGATTCGTCCATAATTAGAACTACCCAAGAATATTTCCTAACAGCAAGAGGTGTAAGAAGGAAAAAAAACAATCGTTATTAATTCGACATAACTGACACAAGTTTTCCTAAATTTCTTCTCAAGAATTATTTAACTAATCTTACCATTCTCTCCCAGAATCCTTTCCATCACCCAGCAGTAGGTACATTTAGTATCCATTTTATATTATGTACTGAGGAGTACTCTAAAATTGTGTTCCAATTTATTTGTTGTAATACATTATTGTTTCCTACAAAGTTTGTTCCGTTATCAGAATATATTACACGTGTACGACCTCTTCTTGCGACAAATTATTTATTCTTTCTTTCGGCAAAGGTGGCATTAGTATTTCAACTGCTTTGGACCTAAATCATTTGCAAATAGTGCATTGGAATATTACCTTCTTAATTGTGCGTCTTCCTCTCAGTATCCAGTACTTTTTTCTTAGTATTGTCACGATTCGTATAAATTCATATTTTTCCAAATTTTAATTAATTATTTAAATAACATCCTGTACATAAAACTTTGTTTAATTATGTCAACAATTTGTTTTAAATAGCAATAATGTGCAAGCTTGGTTATTTAATAATTATTAAACATTAGTTTTAATAACAATAAACTATGAGAAAGTTATAAAGGTAATGTCGAGGGTATGCACGAGGCTTTTTCCACAGGGAACGGATCCTCCCCATAGGAGGTCCCCCTTGTAGGAGATTCCCTGTAGCAGCTCCAGCTCATAAACTTCATAGTTTAATTTAAAAGTCTATTTTGTATTTTGAATAATTGCATTTTTGAATAGTTAGCTAAGGGTTGTGACATGTGAACAAGTATTAGTGGAGTTGGTAAGTCTACGTTTTGTGTACTATGTTATATTGACCCTGTATTTGTGTATGTCGAGTTAACACATTTTATATAATCGTTGTAATTACATTATACTTGTTTTGAGAACACTGTGTTTTCTTCAGACCTTGTTTAAAAACGTGTTAGGTTCTTACAGCAGGAGCAGAATCCTTATACAGTTAAGGGCTACGAAGCCAAGTTTAAGGCTAACTAGTGTTTATGTGATTGAGGCCCAAATTCATATATTTTGTTATTTAACCCCCGGAACATAGATAGTCCCATAAATATTTAAAACACGTAAATCGTGACATTTCTTTATAAAAATACGTATAACGTGACAGTATTCTGTCAATGCGACAATTCTTCTTTTGCTGATATCAACCATCTCATTTTTTCTTGTAGCCACCATAATTCTCATCGTTCAGATTTTCTTAAAAAACTTTCTTCCCTGAATATCCTTTTGCCATCAAGTATTTCTATTTGATTAAGTTCATTTAATGAGAAAATATATAACTTAATTATTGAATTTTTATTTAAAGAAAATATTAAAATATAAATAAATAAGCAAAAAATTATTCGGTTTACAAAAGTCTGTGGCAACAAAAACTACGTTTAGATGCCAATTCTCAAAAAAAAAAAAAAAAAACTCCAGCATGGCAATTTATTATGTGTGGATCAAAAATTAATTTTTTTATAAGTTCATGTTGAGAAGGCAGTAATATAGGATACTTGAAATCTTAATCATCTTCTCCATAAATTAACCTAGTTTTTGTTCTTATGATGCTTCTGTCATCTACGAATATTTCTAATCTTTTTATATTCTCATTATCTTTAAAACTTTCTAACTGGATAACTTTAATTATTTTTAGTTCTGCTTGTTCTATTTCTTCGGCAGTCAATTCGCCAATCAGTTTTTCTTTATTTTTGACTATTGTTGTTAAAAAACCTCATAATCCAGGATATCATCCTGACTATCATAATAAATTTAGAAAAGTAACTAAAATCTTTTGAAATAGTATTATTTACATGTGCTAGAGGGCTAACTGTCTCTTTCTTTCTAAATATATCTTCATTGGAGTAGTCAATGTTAAAACATGGCCAACTTTTAACATTATCACTTAGCTATTGTGGACCTTGCCACCATTTACTCTCTAGCAGATATTTGCAACTACATCCTCTTGAAGTTAAATCAGCAGGGTTTAATTTGGTAGGGATGTACCGCCACTGATCACTATTTGTGTACATTTTAATCTCTGACACCCTGTTCTGTACAAATGTTTTCCATGGTCCTTTGGACTGTAACCAACCTAATACTACCATTGAATCGGTCCAGTAAAACGTTTCCAAAGTACGAATGTCTTTAAACTTTTTAATACTCTCGCATAACCTAACACCAATCAAACTTGTTAAGAGTTCTAAACGAGGAATTGTTATATTTTTTGGTGCAATCCTTGACTTTGCTTGAATTAATTGTACTGTCACAGATTGACCAAAATTAACTCTCCAAAATATGCAACAGCCATAAAAGCTATTTGACTACTATCTGAGAAAACAGAAGAGTTGCTTTATCTAACTTAAATGTCTCTTTTGCATTAATAGCTCTAGGTACTGAACAATAACGCATGAAATGAATTTGTTTTAACCATTTTTCAAATTTAATGAATATATCATCTGGTAAAATACTAACCCAACCAAGTTTTAATTGCCATGTTACCTGTAATAATAATTTTAGCTGAATTATAACTGGGCAAGTCAATCCAATAGGATCGAATAATCTTTGAGCAACTGATAATAGACCTCTTTTTGTTTTTGGTGTATGCTCAAGTGTATTTATATTACAAATTAAATTATCATTTTTTGTATCCCATAATATTCCTAAGACTTTCACAAACTTTTTCTTTGGAGTATCATTTTCATTAGTAAAACCCCATTATCTAAGATTAAAATTACCTAGCCCCATCAGTTATTTGGATTCCGTAATTAAAGCATGTAACTCTTCTACACTATTAACGCTTGTTACAAGATTGTCTACGTAAGAGGAATCCTTTAACTTACTTGCAGTATTTTTTAAATGAACCGGAGCTTTATCTAAGTGATAATTAATAGTGGCTGCTGACAAGAATGGACTTGACTTTGCCCCAAAAACAACACGACAATGTCTATATATTTTCTTATTTTACTCCTCGTAGTTATACCACCAAAAAAATCTTAAAAAGTCCCTATCATTAGGGCAGATAGTGATTTGCAGAGAAGCCTTTTCTATATCTGCGTTAATTCCAAAAATACCTAACCTAAATTTTAATAATAATTTTGGAATTAGTTCAAGTACATTTGGTCCTGCTTTAAGACAGCTATTTAAAGAGTTACCAAATTCGTCTTTTGCTGGCGCATCAAAAACGGGACGTACTTTGGTGGTTTTACTTGCATCTTTTATAAGAGCATGGTGTGGTAGAAAATGTATAGATTGATAACCTGTAGTATCTTCACTTACTTTTTCTATGATTCCTAGTTTCTCCCATTCTAAAAATACGTTTTAATAGTCTGACAGCTTCTTGAGGCTGACTAGTCTTTTACTTGTTGCTTAACACACCTGGGCAATCTTTCCTCCCAAGGAAGTCTAATTTCATATCCACCTTCGGGATTAACTTTAATCGTTTTATAGAAGAAGTTTAATGTTCTTTCCTCCATCTTCTGCTTGGCTATAACCTCTGCTGGATCTGTTATACCTATAACTTCTAAATTCCACAGATCTGTAATAGAAAGCTGAGAAAGACAACAAAATATGTCTTTACGTGAAATGTCCTTATATTGGCCCATCCCAAACAAGTTTCTGTAGCCACCAACCCATTTCGTAAATTCTCATTATTTCTAGTTAATAAATGACCAAATAAATCAGCACCTAATAATAACTCTACTTCTGGTGATGCGGATGAAAAGGCCTTTCAGGCCAAATCATTTAAAATTATAGTTTTCCTTTTAAGTTCATTAATTAGTGATATATCTGTTAATCGAGGAATGAAATTGCATATTTTGTCTTGATCTAGAGCGTCTAATTTGAATTCAGAATTATCTTGTAAGTTCTGGACAACAATTTTATACTTATTTATTGTGCAGTTTTGGGGACATTTGAAGTCCGCCAAACACACCTTGAATAACATCTTCTGTATTTACTCTGATGTAACCTAATTCCTTTGCACAATTACTTAATATGTATGATTTCTGA